GCCCATATTAGGCAAGACAAGATCGAACCTAGAGCTCTGAGATGCATGTTCCTTGGATATCCCGAGGGAGTCAAAAGTTATAGGTTGTGGTGTCAAGAACCAGGTCACAGAAGATATATCACAAGTTGTGATGTAGTTTTCCATAAAGTCGAGATGGCGTTCAAGAAAACTGGTGATGCTGGTTGAAGTGCAGAAATCTCTAAAAAGGAGCTGGAACAAGTGGAGATGCATGTTGAGGTGGAGCATAATGATGCTGAAGTGCATAACTCAGATGAAGTCGAAGAAGAAGAGCAAGATGCTGAAGAGGCTGAGGAAATTGTCGATGACTACCTACTGGTAAGAGATAGGTCGTGAAAAGTCATCAAGCCACCTCAGAGACTTGGTTATGCAGATCTTATAACTTTTGCCTTAATCTCTGCAAGTGAGGTACTTAAGGAAGAATCTAAAGATTACAAGGAAGATATGAGGAGTCGAAATAAGACTGGTGAAAAGCCATGAATGACGATATGAAATCTCTTCATGATAATAACACTTGGGAGCTGATAGAGAAATCGCAGGAGCAAGGTTAGTCAGTTGTAAATAGATTTTCAAGGTCAAGGAAGGAATCGAAGGAATGATGTTGAAGCGCTTTAAGGCAAGACTGGTTGCTAGGGGATTCACTCAGAAAGAAGGTGTCGACTTTAATGATGTGTTCTCACCTATTGTAAAGCATAAATCCATTATAATATTGTTGGCCATGGTGGTGAAGTTCGACTTGGAACTTGAGTGAATGGATGTGAAGATAACATTTATGTATGGTGACCTAGACGAAACGATCCTGATGTGTCAACCTGAAGGGAATGCAGAAAAGGATAAGGAATATTATGTGTGCAAGTTGAATAGGTCTTTGTATGGCTTGAAACGATCTCCTCGACAGTGGAACAAAAGATTTGACAATTTCATGACACACATTGGTTTCACTATGAGCCAGTTCGATCACTGTGTTTACTTTATATTTCGACATGAAAATTCACTTGTTATTTTGTTAATTTATGTGGATGATATCTTCATAGGTAGCAACAGTGTCGAGGATGTAATGGAGGTGAAGGCTGAACTCAACAAGGAGTTCAAAATGGAGGATCTGGGAGCTACCACCAGAATTCTTAGGATTGACATCCAAAGAGATAGAAAGCAGTCAAAGTTGTGCTTATCTCAAGAGACATACCTACGAAAGCTTCTCGACAAGTTTGGTATGTCGAATTCAAAGTCTGTTGTGACTCCAACAAATCCTCAATTTAAGCTTAGTAATACTCAAATTCCGAGTATCGAAGCTGAAAGAATCTATATGAGTAGCATTCCATATGCTAGTGTAGTAGGTTCTTTGATGTATGCTATGGTCTATGTGAGGCCAGACATAACATATGGTGTGAGCCTTTTAAGCAAGTATATGGCCAATCCTGAAAAAGTGCACTGGCAAGTTGTAAAGTGGATTCTCAGGTACATAAACGGGTCTCTGAAAAGAGTCTTGATTTATGGTGGAGCTTGTGGCAGTGATAGCATAGTCGAAATTGAAGGATTTGTCGACTCTGATTATGCAGGTTGTATGGATTCCAGAAAGTCTATTTCTAGATATGTGTTCATTATGTTTGCCACAACAATCAGTTGGAAATCAATGTTTCAGAAGGTTGTGGCCTTATCAACCACTGAAGCAGAATATATTTCCCTCGCTGAAGCTGTGAAAGAAGCATTGTGGCTTGAAGGTTTTGCAAATGAGTTAAAACTTCAAGGTCGAAGTATCACTGTTAAATGTGATAGTCAAAATGAAATACACCTGTCGATTAATTCAGCCTATCATGAGAGAACTAAGCACATCCATGTGAGGCTGCACTTCGTCCGGGAGATAATCGAGCATGGTGAAGTCCGGGTGCTGAAGGTTTCGACTGAAGACAATGCTGCTGATATGATCATTAGACGTTGCCCAGTTGCAAGTTTTTCCACTATACGCAGTTGATGAATCTGCATGATAAAAGCTAGTTGATTCCCTGTTTGTTGAGTTAGATCCAAGGTGGAGAGTTGTGACATTTTAGGTCGAATTCAAGCTTTGTCGAGGAATAACTTTCATGTATTTCGACAGGAGACAAGCATGAAGTCGAAGATGGATCACATGTTGTGGTCGAAGGATACATATTGTAGTTGAAGCCTGTTCTAATATGTATTGTCGAAATGTTTGTCGAATTGGGCCTTTTGTTATGGATCCAATTGTTAGTTAGCTTGGGTTGGAAGTTATCTAGTTAGTCTATATATAGGCTAGATCACTTAGGTTGTTGAGTGAAACCAATTGTGATATTCATTTGTAAACTCTTATGAGAAAGTGAATAGTAAATAATTTGCCTTAATCCTTCTTCTTCTTCTTCTTTCTTCTTTATCCTTTCTTCTTTTTTCTTTGTTCTAACTGATTTCATTGTTCACCCAAGAACTCTGTTTCTCAATCTTGATTTGTTAAAAGGTATCGTTTGTGATCACAACACAAAGAGACCGACAAATTTTAACAATGCATAGTAAAATTTAACAAGTCTTAATGTTAATATCATATACTTTAAAATAATCATTAAAAAAACGTAACTATAATACTAAAGCTTAAAATAAACATACTAAAATCCCAAAATAATCCTTTTGGTTCAAAAAATCAACAAGCACAACCTAGTTAAGGACATCTAGAGACACAAATTAAGAAAACAAACTAGCAGAAGCTAAAGAAAAACAACTAAGTAGATTTATCAATATTTAATAATGGAATCATCTCAAAAATAAAACAATAAAAAAAATCAATTTTCATTATTTAAAAATTATCTATACAAATAATAAGCACTTAGTTGAGCATTTTAGTGTCAAAAAATAAATAAAATGAGAACTCAAATAGAATAAAATACAAATTAAAACTTTATTATCATAATACGAAACAAACCCCTATCTGCAAAATTTACTTTATAATTTTAGAACCCGACTCCAATAACAACAAGTAATAGAAAATAAAAAAGAATGTATTCTCTACGTTTTGCAATAAAGATTTTTTCTACTATGAGTGAAAATAAAGAAAAAAGCAAAGATCAATTAATGTTTTTAAAATGAGGTGTTTGTGGTTATATAAAAAATGAACATTAGAGTTTGAAGAAATGAAGAGTTATTTTAAAAGTATGTCTACTAAAGACCATGCTCCGCCCTCGGTCCATTTTAAAAATGGGTTAAACGGGACAAAACAACTTAAGAAATCGAGCCGAAAACTTTGTCTTAGTTTGAGCCTAACCCATTTTGTCATTTCTATTAATACTCGTATTCATATTTATATTTATTTCTTTTAGTCAATATTTATTCATATGTCCATTTGACGAATTTTTATGAAGAAAATTATAGAAACTCATTAAAAATAGATACGATTTTTAGCCCTAGTTTATCTATACAAGATTTTGACTCTTGTTGGTTTTCAACCATTTTAATTAATTAAGTAATATATATTTTATATACTATTTCTCCTAATTTTAGGAAAACATTATCGTGAATTAGGAAAACAAAAAAAAATGGTAATTTCCATAATTGAGGAATTATGTAAAAGTACAAGTATGGCGTAGCATACAACTTAACAGCTAGAAAACAAAATGGAAAAAGGAAAAACAACAAAATTTTCCAATGCTAGCTTTGTATAAGAAGAGAAAAAAACAAGCTTTCATGTAAATTACTTATTTTGTTTTAAGATAACTAAATTAATCTATCATTTCACATCCATAAAAAAAAAGTATAATGTTCTATTTGATAATGATAATATATATTTTTTGATATTTAGCAATTTAGAAATTCAAATTTTCAAGATTAAAAAAAAAATTCTTGCATTTTTTATTTATAAATTAGATATACTATGACTATAAAAATTAATCTATCGAAACAGTAGACAATGTTTATTGATAAAAAAAATAGTTAAAAACTTAAAAATATATATTTATGAAATTATATTTTTATGATAAGTTGTAACATAGGTATTAATTTTTTTAAAATTGATTAGTTTAAAATAAAAGATTCTTTTGGAAAAAATAATTTATAACAACATATTCTAAATGAAAGAAAATAAATATTTTTATCATACTGGAATATTTTTGTATCATAAATACAAAATGTGCACATAATATTAATTAAATAATATATTAAAAAATTATTAATATTATATTAAAAGAATTTAATTGATATGTGTTGTCGGTATAAATTTTTTTTACATTGTCAACCAATCACCATGAAAAGTTCCGTTACATAAAATTACAAATTTTAAATTACTAATATAACATAATAGATTGATGAATTTATAAAACTATATTAATTAAACTCAAATTAAAATTTAAAAGAGATTAAATTTATAGAAGACAATTTTTCTTTCTTCTAGGAAAACAAAATCCTGTCATTCATTTCATTTAGATTATTCATTTTGTTTGATTACTAGAAATGTCCAAATAGTCCTTTTATTTTCTTGTGAAATTGCAGGAAAATAGGGGAAAAATTCCACATAGAAACAAATCAAACTTGACCTTATTTAATTATTATTTTGATTTTGTTTGTACATATTCAGTTAATTTAATAAATTGTATTATTCAAGAAATATTTGTTTTTTATTTAAAATATTTTATTTATATTAAATTTAGGTGATATGTATCCATAATTCAGACAGAATCCCTTCCAAACTTTGTAAATAGTAATATCAGTTTTTATTTTTCCATTTATTTTCAAATCATTTATCATGAACAGAAAATTAATTAATAAAATAATTTAAATTATATATAAAAAAAAAACGAAGAGCTTTTTCCTTAAATTCAAAGTAATGTTAGTTTATTAAATTCCACTACCAAACTAAAAAAAAACACGACCATCTTCTTCAACTTGTCTCTTGCTTTGTTGCTACAAAACGCAAAACCAAACCAATTTCTCAAGCATATAAAAAAAACACAAACACACAATTTTTATGTAACAAAAAAAATAAAACAATGAAGCTCTCAGCTTTACAGCAGAGTTATCTAAACCGTCGAACTAACAGCTTCAGAGGCTCGACGCCGTTAGATTCAGGTGACGGCGCCGTTAAATCCCCGGTAACGATTTTCTGGCTTGTTCTTCACGGTGTTTGCTGCTTAATCAGCCTCGTTCTCGGTTTCCGATTTTCTCGCCTTGTTTTCTTCTTCCTGTTTTCAACTTCCTCTAGTAATATCTACACTGCTCCGTTTAGCTCCGGCCCCGGAATTACCGTTCCGGTGGATGTTCAAACGAATCATATTGTTAACCGGACCGCTGTTGTAGCTGCCAGTAGAGTGGTGGTTGGACGGCACGGGATCCGAATTCGGCCGTGGCCGCATCCGGATCCTGTGGAGGTAATGAAAGCGCATGGGATAATTGAGAGAGTTCAGAGGGAACAGAGAGCGTTGTTTGGAGTGAAGAACCCTAGGACGGTTATTGCGGTTACTCCGACGCATGTGAGGACTTTTCAAGCGCTTCATTTGACCGGTGTGATGCACTCGTTGATGCTGGTGCCTTACGATCTGGTTTGGATCGTGGTGGAAGCTGGTGGAGTTACCAATGAGACTGCTTCTCTTATAGCTAAGTCTGGGCTTAGAACCATTCACGTTGGATTTCATCAGGGAATGCCAAATTCTTGGGAGGAAAGGCATAAGCTTGAGTCTTTGATGCGTCTTCATGCTTTAAGGTCAAATTTTGATTATGCTTTGACTACTTTGTTATCGTAACTTTTTTTAAAACTCATTTATGATCTTAATTATTATGCTTGTATTTTGCTCTTGTAACTACTGTTCCCCTTGTTAGTACAGCTGTTTTTATGGTAACTGTTGTGATATGAAGCATGATCCCTTTTATTGCAGAGAGTCGCAATTTGATTAATGTGGTTTAGTTTTATGATCATAGAGACACTGTAAAATTTGATGTCTTGGGAGTGTTTTATAATATCTTGTAGTGCCCGGGATATAATTACAAAACACGGTGACAATAAATGATGTGATGATGATCATGATGCTGAGTTTTTGTTTTTCCTGTTTTTTTTTATGGTCGTTCTTAGATGAAATCTTATGTTGATTTTTCCTTGTGATGGAACAGAATTGTGAGAAAAGAGAAGCTGGATGGAATTGTGATGTTTGCTGATGATAGTAATATGCATAATATCGAATTGTTTGATGAAATTCAGAATGTAAAATGGATTGGTGCTGTTTCTGTTGGAATACTCCTTCATTCAGTTGATGCAGCTGAAATTTCTTCGGTGGTTCAAAAAGAAGGAGAGGAGGATTCCACGCCGATGCCGATACAAGGTCCAGCTTGTAATGGTACTGATAAGTTGGTTGGATGGCACACCTTCAATTCATTACGATATACTGGGAAGAGTGCGGTTTACATTGATGACCGCGCACCTGTGTTGCCAAGAAAGCTTGAATGGTCTGGGTTTGTGTTGAATTCGAGGTTGCTATGGAAGGATGTTGATGATAAACCAGAGTGGATTAAGGATCTCGACGCGTTGGATGGGAAGGGTGAGGAGATGGAGAATCCACTGTCCTTGCTCAAGAGTGCCTCTGTGGTAGAGCCACTAGGGAATTGTGGACGCCATGTTTTGCTTTGGTGGTTGCGGGTTGAAGCTCGTACAGACAGCAAATTCCCTGCTCGGTGAGTCCTCTGCTCTATATTTTAGACATTTCAATGATGCCCGTAATTTTCATTTGCCAACTGATGTCTCACTTCTATGTGTCGGTTGTAATTTATAACCGACACAGTTGTTCGCAGTAAGAATAGATTCTGCAATTCACCGACACAGCCCACCTAAAAACACAGCCAAAAATTACTGCCTAACATTTGGATTGTTTGACAAATTGCAATATTTCTGACAAATAAGTGTTATTCCTATACCATCTACCTGGTTTTCTCAGAGAATGTCATGGAATTTATTTCTAGGTTCTTATCAATCACATTTTCTTTATTTAGTCTTTGACAGGTCATCCAAATAGTGCATGGATTATGTAAAATCAATACTTAGCCCGGTATTTATCAGCATATTTAACATTTTCTGCACATTTCACTGATTATATGATGTTATTTCATGCAGATGGATAATTGACCCTCCTTTGGACATCACAGTTCCATCAAAACGCACTCCATGGCCAGATGCTCCCCCTGAACTCCCATCTAACGAAAAAGAAAAGGTGTTTGCGGCCACAGAAGAGCAACCAAGCAAGCATACTACAAAGATTAAACCACCTAGAACCAAGCGTAGTAGAAATAAGAGAAAGCATGACACCAAAGTGATTGGTGTACAAGTCTCTACACATTCTGAACAAACTGAGATATAAATTAGTCCATCTGAGAATTTACTACCTTGTGTTTATACGAGCCTGCTGGCCTTCCTTGACAAGAATTTCAATTGATTAAATGGAGAAGCTGGTGTTTTCCTGGATACATAAATCGGCCGCAAAGCTTTTTATGGTTGGCCAGCATATGTGCATTCGAGTCTGATTTTCACCTTTTTTATTTTTTACATTCCTTTTATTATTTTTTCCTATTTTTCTTGGAGGTGCTCTATATCTGTTCACATGAAAGGGAATTATCAACTTAGTTTTGCAGAATTGGCTGTCTCCTGAGAAGCCTGTATTCAATTTTATCTTTTAATGTTTATACATATTCTAAATAGTATTATTCAATTTCATTTCATTCTTTCGCATGCAGGATTTGTTTCCCATAGACTTATATTGTAATAGAAACAAACCCACACATACCCCAATAAGAAGTTGTACATTGCATTGAAGTTACCTGCCACAATAAGAACAAAATTCTCAAATACAACAAGAGCACTCGATGTGAATACTAAAACAAAACACACAGATTGATTAAAGGAAAGTGCCAAAATGGGACTAACCCTACTCTCTCATGTAGGCATTGACAATAAGTTGTACATTGCATTGAAGTTACCTGCCTATCTATCTTCCTTTTTTTATCAAACCTATCCATCTATTTATATGTATATACAATTAAGAGAACACTATTTGATTATCTTGTTGGTAAGATCTGTATCTAGAAAATATTTATGGAACATAAGTTTGCATAGATTAGTTCACTCCCCCTCTCTTTCTCCTCGCCACCCACAAATAAGAACCTTACCCACTCAATCTATTAATCAAGACCAGCTGCCAATTTAGAAAAAAGAAAACATCATAATAAAATATGAGCAAAACAAATCTGAATAATGAGCTACATTTTGAAATTTAGAAACCCTATTTAGCAAAGAACCCAAGGCGTAAATTGTATATGAAATTCAAGCTGCAAAAAATTAGATTCAAAACAAAAATAAAAATAAGAGGCATAGTATTGGATAGTTGAGGGGAAAAGCAAGAAAAAGAAGTTATATGAAGCCAATGATGGTGGTGAAGAGAAGTAGTGGCAGAGGATGCCAATGCTCCGGTGATGTTGGCAAAGATGGCAGAGGGAGGGATATGCCCCATTGCCCTTACATCATCGGAGTTAACCATGTAATAGATCTGGCGAGACTCTATCATCAAAGTTGCAAAAAAATGATGTGCAACGCGCACTTTCAACACAGTAGAAATCATCACGCAATATACATACATGTCACATACTGTAGTTTTTTTTTTTTATAGAATTTGAAAGTTAAAACAAATCAATAAATTAAAAAAGTATTCATAGAAAAATGAAATAAAAGAAGCAAATATCATAGCTCCTTGTCCTTAAAATCAAAGCATACATGAAATAAGAATCCATCAGCAGTTTAGCATCACCAAGATATGAGGAATTTGCTAGTTTCAACATAGAAATAAATTTTGGAACAGTTCCTGACACCTATCCTGAAACAAAAGGCTTCGGAAATGTCCATAAGTAAACTACCCATGACATGACGGAACAGCAAGTTAAGCAGTTTCTGTTGCCGGTTGGGTCACCCCAGATTTCACCAACAGTTTAGTCAAGTTCTCTGGGGAGCAAACTTGATACTTCACTTTTCCGGAGGGTGCAAGAAAAACCTCAGCAAGTTCAAGCTTATCTGAGGTAAGACTAGTGGTGTCCATTGTTTTGCTCAGTACTTTCAGTGCAAGTTGAACTGCTTCTTCCCTTGTGATGTCATCCTTGTAGTCCTGTTTTAGAATTGATTGTGCTGCTTGGTTGTTGGCACCAATAGCCCCGGCTTTCCAACCGCCATAATTTCCACTAGGATCACTCATGTAAAGTTGAAAGCCGAAGTTTTTGTCCCATCCTGCAAACAGGAAAGAGACTCCAAACGGACGGAGGCCACCAAATTGAGTGTAACCTTGTTTGGTATCACAAAGAGATTGAACCAACTGCTCAACAGGCATTGGCTCTTGGTAAGCAAATGAGTAACGTTGTGCTTGGATCCTAGCAGTATTGATTAGGATGTTGGCATCAGACATAATCCCAGCAACAGCACATGCAACATGGTCATCAATCTTGTACATTTTCTCAGTTGATGTTGAGGTTTGCAGAAGCTTGGATGTCACCTTCTTTTCGCCAACCAGAACAACCCCATCTTTTGACAAGATTCCAATGGCAGTACCAGCATTTCCAATGGCCTCCATTGCATACTCCACTTGGTAAAGGCGTCCTTCAGGAGAGAAGATTGTTGTACGACTATCATATCTTCGAGACATCTTGATCTGAGGCAAAGTAAAAAAAAAAAAGTAGAATGAATAAAGTCTTTCCTTGTTAAATGAAAAGAACAGAAGAATTTGAATAAAACGACACTCTTGTAGAAGAAAATATAACCACAAGTAATTTTTATATATGATAAATAAATTTAATGCCAACTTTGAGTGATTACTCTTCCGTCGTGGAAATTTTGTTTGCATATCCATAGCTACTTTAAGAATTTCTCCATGAACCTTATATAATAAACTTCAAAGTGTATTAAGACCAAGTTGGAAGCTTCAATGAAGTAACCCTGAATACTAATATATTCATGTGAATTCTCCTCGTAGTGTTTTTAGTTAGAATTAGAGATTAAAGCACCACTATGAAAGAAAAGGAAATATGTTGATGATCTATTGTCAACAAATATGTTCATCAAAAACCAGGTAGAAAGCTGCAAGAAATACTGAAAGGTGTGGCGATAGCATCATGACTATAGTTTGAAATTAACATATGTACCAATGAACATTATAGTCTCACAAGCATACATTAACAAAATAAAACAAATTTCACTATGCCATTCATCTCATAGACAATATGTCAAATCAATAGCAGAAACCAAACGGTGGCAACATTCAGAAGCTGCATACAATACGGTTAAGGTTTTCTTAATTCTCTTAAAAATAAACACATGAAAAATCACATGAATTACACAGATCTATGTCAAGCAAAAATCAGGCAACAGAAACCCCCAGTAGATTTTGTCGAAATCTATATACTGTGTGATTTTGTAGAAGCTTCCAAGTGGCTATTTGTCAAACTGATCGTGAATCGAAACATGCACTAAATTAGAAAATCTGAAAACATGGTGATACAAATGAAAAACTAGCAAATTAAAGGGACAGTTATTTAAACCCTAACTTTCACTAAATCAGACTACAATCTCAGTTGAAAGTTCAAGAGGAAATCAGGATCAAGGAAAAGCTAAAATTACTAAACATGGATCCAGGATTCAAAGAATCAGCAATATTTCGTACACTAATTTATACTAAACCCTAAAAATTAAGACACGTATCTTAATATATGTTTGGGGTTTCTCCCTAAGTTACCAATTGCACTGTTTTAGCACAGAATCACGATGCAGAATGGAGCTCTACCGCAACGGAACTCTTTTGCAGTAGCGGCTATGGTGGACGCAAATCGAGGTGGAATCGCGTCCATTTGAGGGAGGGGAAGGAAAATTAAAAAGAAAATGGAAAACCTGGACGAGTTCTCACTGTCTTTGGAGGTAGACGGTAAACTCCGGCGGTGATTTCAGGGAAACTTTCTTCAACTACGAAGCGAGTTCCTAGCGACTCCAATTTTGTGTTTGTGAAGCTGATAGAAACGGTGTTTTTGTTGATTTGGGGTTTATTTGTTAAAATAGTTTTCTTATTCAACAAACAAAAAAAAAGTTTTCCAATGTACTAAATAAATAAATAAAGAATTGATTGTATTTTCACTTTTATAAAATTCTAATCTTTTGTTTTTTTATGAAGTCTTTAAAATTGAATTACATTTAGTTTTAACTTCTAAAGTTAAAAGGTTTTTGATTTTAGAATTAAAATCAAAAGAATTTTAACATATATAATTATTTTAAAAAAATACAGTGATAAAAATTAAAGATAAAAATTTAGTTTTAGTTTTTTAAGTTATTTTAAAATATAAAATTAGTTTTTTAAATATTTTTTGTAACACTTTTCTCTTTTATGTTAAGTAACGTTTGTGTCGTTGACTTTTTTAAAAATCTCAATTAAAATAAATTGCAAACTCATATATCATTTGAATTGTTTTTTCGCGCTGATCACGGATATGTAATTAATTTTGCATTTGACTGTGTATTTTGGTCAGATCGAACGATTTTTCATTATGTATTTGTCTACTTTTTCCTCTGATTCTCATTAACCGTAACTTGTTTGATAAATTTGATTGCATATTCGTGATCAGCGCAAAAAATCAGTTCAAATGGTATATTACTTTGCAATTTATTGTAACAGAGATTTTTAAAAAGATCAACGACGCAAACGTTACTTAACATAAAGGAGTAAAGTGTTACAAAAAAAACTTAAAGAACTAACTTGATATTTTCAAATAACTTAAAGGACCTAGATAATATTTTTGCCAAAATTAAATTTACAAGAATTAATGGACTATTAAGGCATTAATTCTATAAGTATTTTCTTCTATTTGTTTTTATAAAAGAACAACATTTTAAGGGTGGCAAACATTCATGTTCGTCTTGTTTAGAATTGTCCCATAAAAATCCACAAAATATTAGACATAATTGACATAATCGAAAGTGTGGAGTTAAAATCTTATTTCATCATAAAAAAAATAGAGTGGGACATGCATATGCATGTTGACTTTGCACCTTTAAATACTAAAAATTGCAAAATTCTTCCTAATGTCTGAGCTCACAAAAAAGAAGATATATCAAAGAGTGTGAGCTAAAAATCTTGACCCGTTTCGAAAAAAATACGGACAAAACATGTATGCCAGATAGACCGAAGTCATTTTGTTACCCCTATTGAATTCTATATCTATAAAATTACAAGGCAATCAATTCAAAAATCAAAACTCATAAAACATCAATAAAGAGCAAATACTAAGAAAAATAACTTTTCAAATATTACCCATCACCTCGATAAAAAATAATTAGGTGTTGTTGTAAACTACTCTCTATGTCATTTGATAAAATTAACACGTATATACATAAATGGTCTAGAAGCACTAGCGTGTTTCCATCTTTCTGAACACTATGTAACATATTCAAATCAAATAGGTGTCACAGTCTATCACAATTTCAATTACAATAACAAATTTATGCTTATCTGTATTTATTGTGAGTACTGTCGCATCGCTGCGAAGAGGGACCAACAAGGACAGAAGAGTCACCACCATTCGTTATTTATCCCAAAAGAGGGAAAGGAAACGATCAAAGAAAACCTACGAAAAAGGGAGAAAAGACAGGTCATCGCAACCATGTCTCGGGTTCGGGAGTCGATTACGCAAGAAGAAGGTATTAGCACCTCTCGCGTCCGTCGTACTCGGCGGGATCCACACTTTGCTGTCTATCTAAAGGGTGTTGGATAATCTAACTACAGGGCACAGGGACAAAAGAAAAGAAAAGAGACTCGATAGAGCATCGCCACTCTATGCCTACGTATTCCCTCGCGCAATGGGAAAGTCAGAGTCAACTTAGTTCGGAAAACTACGGGTGAAGGTGGGGGAAGGTTGCTCGCCAAGACATCGCGTCTTGTGCCTACGTATTCTCATCTGGTATGAGAAATCAGACCAAAACGTAGTTCAAGCTAACTACGGGGAAACGGGGTGTTCTTGATCGCATAGGGAGCGAGAAAAAAGGTAGACGATACTAGCGCACGCATTCAAGCAGTTAGGTGTATGCAGCTCGACCATTAGAGACTTAGGAGTTACCTGTTTGCGGTAGAACGGACGTAGTATGTCATTGGTTAAAAGGTACGGGTTACCTAAAGGAAAGAGGGAAAAATGCTCGCTAGGATTATCGCAATCATATGCCTGCGTACTCTCAACAGATATGAGAGATCAGAGAAGCCGTAGTTCGGCCAACTACGGAAAAACGGTCTCGATTGCACGGGGGCAAGAGAAGGGATCTCAATCGCCAGGATGCGAGAGAAAAGAGTCTCAATCGCCAGAATGCGAGAGAAAAGGTTCGGATCGGGACACACACGTTAAGTCCTAAGACGTAGGAGCGAATGCATCGCATATTGTCCAAAGGACATGTGCTAAACACTCTAGACGAGTTAGAAGAGGCTCCCCACTCATCATTTCTCATGTGTCTATCACCACAGCTCACAACACTCGACGGTTGAATAAAAGAGATGATTAGATAGATGAAATTAAAACAATGTTACCGAATGGAGTGGTTCCATTGACCCTTGACTTTGCGTGCTAGCTTCCTTTCCAAGCTTCTCCTCTTTGATCCTTGGCGATGACATTTCGAATCGGAACCAATGTGACGCAAAACCGTCGTAGTTCGACTTATAAGAGAAGTCGAGATGTAGGAGGTTGCGTATTGATATCTGTGTCAAAGACAAGATAGAGAAATGATATTGAGAATCATTCTCCAGTTGAATCGTGTCACACAGACCAAAACAGAAGAAAGTCAAAAATAAAATCAGAAGAAGAAGAGAAATGAGGAGAGAAAGAAGTGGTCTCGGATCCTATATCACCCATCAACAATTTGATTACTAACGATTTACGAAGGTCTCTTCATCGACCAAAACAAAATGAAAATAGGACAAAAAGCCCAATAACAAATGGGAAGAAGAAAATCAACTTATAAAATTGAAATAAACTTCTAGTAGAAAAATAAAAGTTCTATAGAAATTTAAAAAGAAAATAGGTATATAAAATATAATATGTAAACTCTATACATAAAATATAATATCTAAAAGAAAAAATATAATACATAAATCTTTCTAATAAAAAAAATAGTAAAATATATACATGTATTAAAATATATTACAAACTAAATGAAATACAAAAATAAAGAGCGGGGGGTACAGTCAAACAGTGAGGTAGTCCAGAAATCCACACAGTGGGCTTGAGGGTTTAGAAGCTCAAATCAAAAGCAAAATCAACAACCAGAGGGGGTGTGCAAAGGAATACGGGGGTACGAGTCTGAAAACAAATGGGCCAAAGCCCACTAACCAGTTCAAGGTGTCTCACGGAGTCTTCTTCTTCTTCATCTGGCTAAACCCTAACTTTCCTCTTCTTCCACATCACATTCATCTCCAAAATCTAACTCCGCCGCCGCCGACTAGAACTCCTTCCTTCACACTCTCATACTCGTTCCCTTTCACCATCACCTACGTACGACCTGCAAAAACAGACACAAATCCACAACAATCCAATTTCTGTTGAGTGTCGTGATAATAGGTGTGAGCTCTGTTGAAGTTGACGGATGAAGATCCATAGTGAGGATGAAGGTTGGAATCACGTT